CAGTGAGATTTTCATAAGATGTTTCATAGTGTAGTTATGGATTTGGAATGAAATCTTAATTGCGTCTATTTTTCTGTCGTCAAATTGATGCTTTATCACTGCTTTTGTATGGCAATATAAATCGGAGTACTATCTTGTCATTTTCTGGTTTAATTGCCAAAATCTGAACTATTTGCTGATAAAAGATAACACTTCTATGTAAATATATATGAAACATGGCCATTGTGGAGGCGCTTACAATAAGACTGCAGTATAGTGACTTTGGATTTGGTGTTGATGTCAGATGTTTGATATCTACTGTTATATTTTTTACATTATTTCTAGACTAAGGGCCATTTACAGCTTGGCAAATTGTATATAAGACACTTATTTATTTTTGTATTCCATAATTTCTTGACGTAGGGCCATTAAGAACTTCACATTTTGAACAGACATTTATCTATTGAAAACTGCATATAGATATCTTAATTCATTTAGGTATTTGTCATTTTATTAATGATGGAGAAAATTTAGATGAAATGGTATATGTGAGTGAGGGATATTTTTATTTAACAATTTTTGTGTCGAACACAGATAACAGAACATATTTTAAGGGGAACAAATATATACTAGACTAAGTATTCACATTAAGCCATTATAAGATGGCAATCATACTCGCTTTTGAAAGTAGAAAATCTGATTCATGAGTCGAAGTATATCATAATTAAACACTTGCGCAAGTTTATGCAGGTGTTGTGTATAAAGTAAACACAAAATCAACATAGTACATTTACTCAAGGAGCTCTTTATATTCCGTACAATAATAAATTAATTGAATCCAGCAGGTGTTTACCAAGTCCGCAAATGTTTGTAGCATTCGTTTTCCTCCCATCTCTAACTGTTATTTGATAGTATTTATTTCTGTTTACATTTTGTAGATAACAACGTGTATAATAAGTTGCACGTATTTCAACAGGTGGTTAGGTAACCAATGTGATTTTAAGATAGAAACGTTTCGATTAAATAATTTTATACATCAAAGAAATATTTAGCTACTTCTCTTTTCCTGTGTTGTATAAATTATGTGATACAGGATCCATGAATTTAAATTATAGCAGTTCGTTTAAAAAAAATTAGGACTTACAATATACAAAATCGCCAAAAGCTTAACCTCAAACATGACCTCTTGTAAATACCGGCATTTAAAACATATATTGCAGTGTATCTTTAAAAACGAAAAAGTGATGTTGTATTATAGCCAATGAGACAACTATCCATATATACCAAAGGACAAGGACGACCAATAACTGGTCATCGTACGGCAATTCAACAATGAACAAACACCATACCGTATAGTAAGATATAAAAGGTCATGGTTTGAAAAATGTGAAAAGTAAAATAACAAAAATACCGATCTCCAAAGAAAATTCGAAACGGAAAGTCCTTTATCAAATGGCAAAATCAAAAGCTCTCACACATCAAATGAATGGAAAACAACTGTCATATTCCTGACTTTGTACAGGCATTTCCTTATGTAGAAAATTGTTGATTATACCTGGTATTATAGTTAGCTAAACCTCTCACTTGTATGACAGTCGCATAGAATTCTATTATATTGACAACAATGTGTGAGCAAAACGAACAGACATAATAGGTAAAAATGTCAAAAATGGGGGCACAGCAGTCAACATTGTGTTATAATCTTAATCACTATAAAAAATAACTATTTCGACAAAGAAACACAAAATGGCACAAAGACACTCTAAAGACAAAGCAAAAATAAAAGACAAGAATACAAAAATGACCATAGCACAATAACACAATAGCGGGATGTATAAATACAGAGCCACATCAAAAGTATATTAATGAAAATGGAAAAAACAGTAAAGGTTAAACTATACAAAGACAAATAAAAAGAACACTATAACACGAAATTGAGATGAAAACAACGTCAGTACCTATAATCTATACTTCAAGACCATCGTGTATTATTTGTGATGTTGATACGGAATATTTATCAACAATGAACTTTTTTAGAAAAAGGACGAGACGTTCTTTGACATAAACTTCCTGCTCAGACATTGGTGACGTTTTCTAAAGTCTGAGTAGCAGCTGCAAGCTCTTAAATACCGAATGAGTTGGGAAATGTATATCCCTAATGCAGTTGAAGTTGGTATATTGCTGCTTAGGTGGGGAAAAAAGTAAAATCACAAAAATACTGAACTCCGAGGAAAATTCAAAAAGGAAAGTCCCTAATCAAATGACAAAATCAAAAGCTCAAACACATCAAACGAATGGATAACAACTGTCATATTCCTGACTTGGTACAAGCATTTTCTATGTAGAAAATGGTGGATTTTCAGAGAAAACCAAGGCAAAATTTATACAACAACAGTAACGGTCTTGACGCATCAGATCGTAAAGCACAAATACATATATGAAACATCAGAGGATAGTATATTAATTCACAAGTCTTAAATTGCGATGATAATTAAAGCGTTAGAAATAAGAAGAAAGTAGCGTTACTTTTGCTTCAAGTTCCACTGTATACTTAGATGAAGGATTTAAACTTTTATTACTTTGTTATGATCGCATAGATCTATCACATTTAATGGATCATGATTCAAATACAGTTAGGTTTATTTTATTTCTTTATTACCATCTCAAATGGACAGTGGGGATTTGTTGAGAACTATAAACATTACGAAAGAGTTGCCTAAATTTTGTCATTGTAAATTTTCCAATTAATGTAATATTTCAGCAGCAGGTGAATATGGATTATAAATCTTTCAGCTGATACGATTTTCTAAAGGATGCGTTTCATTTCATGGTTTTTATCACAAAGGGGTTTTCTTTGCAAGATAGCTACTGCACCAAGGGCTCTTAATGGTAAAGTTGAAGTCATCTCATTGAAAGTTTTTCCTTGCAAACCGTTGTCTTCTTTTCGTCAGTTGGCTTTGGATTTGTCTGTTTTCGTCATGTTGGCTATGGATTTGTCTGTTTTCGTCATGTTGGTTATGGATTTGTCTGTTTTCGTCATGTTGGTTATGGATTTGTCTGTTTTCGTCATGTTCGCTATGGGTTTGTCTGTTTTCGTCAGTTGGCTATGGATTTGTCTGATTTTTTCCGCTTTTCGCCTCTTAATAATATATTATTTTAAATAATAACATAATTAACTTTTAATATAAAAAGATCGAACGCATCATCCAGATATCATTGTTACATCCGTTCTAAAGTCTAAGAACAAGAGAAGATGGTTCCATCTAATATAGTAGTACTATATATCGGGTAATGTTTATAAAATTAAAGTGTATTTAAGTATACCTTATTGAATCTAAAGTTTATTATAAGTCATGCTAAACGTGTCTCTCATTTTATGACAAGACACGACACAATTTGTCAAAGCAAAGATAAAACCGTAACTATTGTTTGAGAAATATTTTACTTGTTCTTTCAGATTAGTCTAGAGAATATCCAAGCAGATGTTTGACTTGTTCTTTCGGATTAATCTAGAGAATATCCAAGCAGATGTTTTACTTGTTCTTTCAGGTTAATCTAGATAATATCCAAGCAGATGTTTGACTTGTTCTTTCGGATTAATCTAGAGAATATCAAAGCAGATGTTTGACTTGTTCTTTCAGATTAATCTAGAGAATATCCAAGCAGATGTTTGACTTGTTCTTTCAGGTTAATCTAGAGAATATCCAAGCAGATGTTTGACTTGTTCTTACAGATTAATCTAGAGAATATCCAAGCAGATGTTTGACTTGTTCTTTCAGATTAATCTAGAGAACATCCAAGCAGATGTTTGACTTGTTCTTTCAGATTAATCTAGAGAACATCCAAGCAGATGTTTGACTTGTTCTTTCAGATTAATCTAGAGAATATCCAAGCAGATGTTTTACTTATTCTTTCAGAGTAATCTAATGAATATCCAAACAGATGTTTGACTTGTTCTTTCAGATAAATGTAGAGAATATCCAAGCAGATGTTTTACTTGTTCTTTCAGATAAATCTAGAGAATATCCAAGCAGATGTTTGACTTGTTCTTACAGATAAATCTAGAGAATATCCAAGCAGATGTTTGACTTGTTCTTACAGATTAATCTAGAGAATATCCAAGCAGATGTTTGACTTGTTCTTTCAGATTAATCTAGAGAATATCCAAGCAGATTTTTGACTTGTTCTTTCAGGTTAATCTAGAGAATATCCAAGCAGATGTTTGACTTGTTCTTACAGATTAATCTAGAGAATATCCAAGCCGATGTTTGACTTGTTCTTTCAGATTAATCTAGAGAATATCCAAGCAGATGTTTGACTTGTTCTTTCAGATTAATCTAGAGAATATCCAAGCAGATGTTTGACTTGTTCTTTCAGATAAATCTAGAGAATATCCAAGCAGATGCTTTACTTGTTCTTTCAGATTAATCTAGAGAATATCCAAGCAGACGTTTGACTTGTTCTTTCAGATAAATCTAGAGAATATCCAAGCAGATGTTTGACTTGTTCTTTCAGATAAATCTAGAGAATATCCAAGCAGATGGTTTACTTGTTCTTTCAGATAAGTCTAGAGAATATCCAAGCAGACGTTTGACTTGTTCTTTCAGATAAATCTAGAGAATATCCAAGCAGATGTTTGACTTGTTCTTTCAGATAAATCTAGAGAATATCCAAGCAGATGGTTTACTTGTTCTTTCAGATAAGTCTAGAGAATATCCAAGCAGATGTTTGACTTGTTCTTTCAGATTAATCTAGAGAATATCCAAGCAGATGTTTGACTTGTTCTTTCAGATAAATCTAGAGAATATCCAAGCAGATGCTTTACTTGTTCTTTCAGATTAATCTAGAGAATATGCAAGCAGACGTTTGACTTGTTCTTTCAGATAAATCTAGAGAATATCCAAGCAGATGTTTGACTTGTTCTTTCAGATAAATCTAGAGAATATCCAAGCAGATGGTTTACTTGTTCTTTCAGATAAGTCTAGAGAATATCCAAGCAGATGTTTGACTTGTTCTTTCAGATAAATCTAGAGAATATCCAAGCAGATGCATACCTGGTTATATTTTCTATAGCACACAGAGATACGTTTGATGTAGCATCTGACCTTCTTTCTGAGTTAAGGGTGGATCTAGGAAGCGATAGGCCTATTGTTTTGGTTGGAAACAAACTAGATCTAGTAAGAAAACGGAAGGTCAACACAGAAGGTAAGATGTATATACTCTTTAAACCGATTTTATTATTTTTATTATGTAGAAGTGTTGCAGCTGACACATGTCAAGCAAACTATTGGCTACTTAAAATTTTTGACCATCCTGTTTTTATCCCCAGTTTTTTGTGTATAGAATTTGCATACGTTATCCAGCCAAGATAAAAACCAGGCACCTGTCTACCAATACGACATTAAGAGGGTAATGTTGACTTGAATGAATATAGTCATGTTGGTGACGCTAAACGGAAGTCATGTGATCATTCACTCTAAAAGACCATACAGCCTACTCAGTTCTGCCAGTGATTTTTATGCCCCCGTCGTAGCAGTGGAGGCATTAAGTTTTACCCTTGTCCGTCTGTACGTACGTACGTACGAACGTACGTCCCAAAATTGGTTTCCGTTCTCTAACTTGAGTTTACCTCAACCAAATGTTATGAAACTTATACACAATGCTTATTACCACAAAACACAGATCAAGATTGAATTTTGGTGGCGTCACTTTAACCGTTCTACAGTTATACCCCTTTATAAATGGAAAAATTGCAAAATTTTTAGTTTCTGTTCTCTAACTTAAGTTTGCCTCAACCAAATGTTATGAAACTTATACACAATGCTTATTACCACAAAACACAGATCAAGTTTGAATTTTGGTGGCGTCACTTTAACCGTTCTAGAGTTATTTTTGAAGTTTCAAGAAGAAATCTTCAATTGCACAGTATTGCGCAATAGATTTGTAAGATCTTTGGCCACATTTATTTTGTATCAGAAACCTATATTATGACAAAAATTTGATCACAATCCAAATTCAGACAGTATCAAGCTTAAATATTGTCTCCAAATTTGCCCCAACTGTTCAGGGTTCGACCTCTGCGGTCGTATCAGGCTGCGCTCAGTGAAGCATTTTATTTATTTTTGCAGTGATCAAGGGTTAAAAAATCATGGGAAATCATTTAGAATTAGGGAATGTTTATGTACCCCCCTCATCCACAGCTCTGATTAGCTGTTTGGTTTTTGACATATATTTTGTTTTTTATGCCCCCGCCGTAGCGGAGGGGGCATTAAGTTTTACACATGTCCGTCTGTACGTCCGTCCGTCAGTCCATATGTCCCAAAATTGGTTTCTGTTCTCTAACGTTAGTTTGCCTCAACCAAAGGTTATGAAACTTATACATAATGCTTATTACCACAAAAAACAGGTCAAGTTTGAATTTTGGTGGCGTCACCTTTACCATTCTAGAGTTATTCCCCTTTACAAATGGAAGAATTGTTGAATTTTTCGTTTCTGTTCTCTAACTTTAGTTGTCTCAACCAAATGATATGAAAATTATACACAATGCTCCTTTACACAAAACACATATAGAGTTTGAATTTTGGTGACGTCACTTTTACAGTTCAAGAGTTAAGCTCCTTTACAAAAGGAAAAGTTGTTGAATTTTTCGTTTCCGTTCTTTGACTTTAGTTTGCTTCAATCAAATGTTATGAAACTTATACACAATGTTTATTACCACAAAACACAGATCAAGTATGAATTTTGGTGGCGTCACTTTTACTGTTCTAGGATAATGCCCTTTTACAAATGGAAAAATTGCTGAAATTTTCGTTTCTGTTCTCTAACTTAAGTTTGTCTCAACTAAATGGTTATGAAATGTATATATAATGCTTATTACCACAAAACTCAGTTTAAGTTCAAATTTTGGTAGCGTCACTTTTACAGTTCTTGAGTTATGTCCCCTTATAATGTTATATGCTAGCGGGGGCATCATCTGTGTTCCTATGGACACATTCTCCATTTTTTAATTTTTATAAAAAATTGTGTGAAGGTATTTCATGATTTTGGAAAAAAATATGATGAAAAAACTTGGGGTTACCGACTTCGTTTTGTCAACGTCTCTTTAGAACTGTCAGAATAAGCTGTCATATAGAACGACAATTAATGATTCTAGAACAGAATAGTAGAACATTCTTTATAAACCATTCTTACACCATTCATTGTATTGAAGCATCATCGTTCTACTGGTTGTTAGTTGCGTCTTTAAACCTCTTTCTAAATAACGGCCACAATAAGATGACTTTTTGTTCTAGAATGATATCGGGGTTAGTAAGTTTATAATCATGAGCATTCATAAAAACCGCACTACCATACATTGAAAAGAATTATTTTATCACAATTTACTCGTCGAGAATACATATTCTTATCCTTCCAAAGCATTGGAGCTAGCTAATTAACAATGCAGTTCTATTTTGTCGCTTCTTTTATCAAATACAAATAGAAATATGCATGAAGGAATAATCGTCTGCAAATGTAAGCTCATTAAAAAGTAATTATTCGTCTTTATTTGTAATGCTTAGAGCCTACAGGAAAAATACATCTTACAAAGTTATTAGTTCCTTTGGTTTCATGTGTATACCAGTAATTACCAATCTAAACAATTTATAAACTACTAATCTTCGTGTGCTAAACGCCTCTCTACTCATGGGAAACTTATTAAAGCTATAGATGGGAAAACCAGAATAAAGAATGAATTTTAAGTCATTGAAGGACAAATGCTGTTTGACATTATAAAAATTTATTCAGAGACTGCCATTGAAATAAAGATAATTTGGATATGGACAGCAGCTTTACAACAGGCCACTTACGAGCTCCTCAAATAGTTGTAGAAAGGGTTCGTTAACGCACAGAAAGCGTAGCACTCTCTTTAAACGAGGCATCGGATTTAACGTTCCATTTCAGACAGGACGTGATAGTGTTTTATAAATCTATTTATACACACCGCACAGCCAAACGTTCACCCAACTTCAGCATTGGTTTTGTTCTCGCGGGATTGGAGAAGTCCAGGTAACTAAATTCTATACCCCAGCATAAAATTTACCCATGTGGTTTTTGCGTTTAAAAAAATGTAGAAATAATATGGGGGACTTTAAAAAAAAATATTTGGATACGACAAAATAAGGTTATATTTCTCTTGAGGGTGATTCCCTCTATAGAATCCACTCAACATTTCATCCTTGATGAATGAAGGGTGATTATAAGTAAACTTCACTGAAACAACAGCAGCCCATTGAAGGAATGGATACACTATAATACCAAATTAATCCGACAAAGAAATCTTACAAAAGCTTTCTTCGGACTGACTTTTTAAAATATCGAATACTGGTATCAATTTTTTTTTAAAGTCCAGAAAATAACCATTCTAGATCGTATATCTAAAGTCAGAACTATTCAAATTTCAATATCTAAGTTCGATATTCTATATATTCAAAATTCTATATCTGAATTTAGAATTCTAAGTACAAAATTCAGTATTCGAAGTAGCCAATTAGAGCATATTATGGCTTGATAATAATGGCAAATAGAATGAATTCTTTTAATAATGGTATATGTGCGTTAGTTATTTGTAATTGGCCAAACAGGGATTGATCTGGGTTAATACTATGAATCATTAGACTGCTGCCGTCCATTTGAATAGGTAAATGCATTCACGTCCGATCTGAATGTGTTCAGCTAATTACAGTGCTCTAGGTGTCTCGCATTCTACATGTTCAAGAATAAACTCATTATAGATAATAGGATTATAATTTTGTACGCCAGACGCGTGTTTCGTCTACAAAAGACTAATCAGTGACTCGAATCAAAAAAGTTGAAACGGTCAAAATAAATTAAGAAGTTGAAGAGCATTGAAGACCCAAAATTCCGAAAGGTTTTACCAAATACAGCTAATGTCATCTTATCCTGGAATAGAAAATCCTTAGTATTTTGAAAAATTCAAAGTTTTGTAAACATGCAGTTAATTTATAATTATGACCATATCAATGATAACTTATGTCATCACAGAAGTGCTGACTACTGGGCTGGTGAGACCTTCGGGGAGGAAAACTCCACCAGCAGTGGCATCGACCCAGTGGTTGTAAATAAACTCATCATAGATACGACAGACGCTCATTTCGTCTACAAAAGACTCACCCTCGAATAAAAAAAGTACTTTTTGCAGTGCAAAATATTTGAATTCACACAGCACATCCTCTATTTCTTTAGTAGCAGTGCTCATTTTCTGTCCTTCAACCCAGTCGACCCACTTTACAGAACCAATCTAATTGATTTATTACAATATGTTTTCACCCTGAACATGCATAACATTTTTGTATCGTATAGCAAAAAGCGAAGTTTATCGTCTTAGCATCCAATATTAAATCATTTAGATATAATGTTGCTAGTGAATTTAGGGGTGTTAAGTTAAAGCGTGTGCAATCTCAATATGTATAAAAATTGTTTACAGAATTTCTGCATGTGCTTTATGTGAGTTAAATACGAACGAACAGGGCACTTGCTGCTTAAGATGCTGTTCCTAATAAATTATAATTAAAACCAGCAGGTGCTTATCGAAGACGGCAATGTGTGTTTTATGATTTTGAAAAAAAAATATTAAGAGTTTGATAAAATCGTATAACTGTTTATATCTCGTAGCATTTATCTAGATTTAACTTTATCGAATTATAATTTGTCTGGTCGGTTTTGTCTGTATAACATTATTCAGGTCATTCCATTTACTTAAAGGTGAACAACATTAAATTTGACTATTACTGTTGGGATATTTTATTAATTAGTTGATCAAAAAGCTGAATATTATAAAAAAAAAACTTTTTTGGCATTTATTTTTATATATGTAGCTCCACGAGTACGAAGAGGCTACATGTATTATGTAATATGAAAATTTGAGACAGCATTATTATATCTCATTGTATTACAGTGATATCTTCCAAATAGACTTGCGCTGACAACAGTAATTACACAGAAAACAGTAAGATATAGCAACACTAACCTCACCCAATGTACCTATACTTTCTTTTTACAGCACCATATTAGTACAATACATATTACGTTGTTGATGACAGAATTAATATATATCCTGCTGTACCTGGCATTCCATGTTTCATTTTTTGGGTAGCAAAAAATCTTTTTTATGTTTAAGGACACACCTCTTTTTGAGAAAAAGAAGCGGAATAACCGACTGAACTGTCGACTTTTTTGTTGGAATTTTTTATCTAACCAATCTATTCAATCTTTGTTAAGATATTTAGGTGGCTTGAAGTAGGAAAAAGAGACAGAAAATACCAATTAGACAATAATAAATCATAAGAGGAAGAAAAACAGACAATACCATCTCCAAAAAAGAATATAAACAGTTAATTTATAATTATGCCCATATCAATGATAACTTATGTCATCACAGAAGTGCTGACTACTGGGCTGGTGAGACCTTCGGGGAGGAAAACTCCACCAGCAGTGGCATCGACCCAGTGGTTGTAATAAACTCATCATAGATACGACAGACGCTCATTTCGTCCACAAAAGACTCACCCTCGAATGTGATCTATCCATAAGTATATTGGATCTTTTATTATACGTCTGCTTCAACTAATTAAACACTATGTTTTCTTACAGAGGCACAGGATGTTTCAACAGTGTATGATGCAAAGTATATGGAAGTGTCTGCTGGACTAAATCATAACATTGATGAACTATTGGTTGGAATATTAGCTTTAATCAAATATAAACTGAATCCATCTCTACCACCGCCAACATTGCGTGTAGACAAAAAGAAGCCAGGTGTATCAAGATTTTCGTTTAAAGCACCAATAGATTTCTTCAGTCGAATGTTTCAATTAGCACGAGATAAGTTTAGACCTGCAAGAAAGACTAAATGAATTGTAATACTCTTGCTTAACTGTTATAACCATGTCTGATGTTCAAATATACTAAGTCTTGTTTTTAAAAAAAGTTGACAATATATAAAGGCATCCAGATTTTTTATTTTTGAGTTGAAAAATACTTCAATAAACAGTAATGATGATAAAAAAAAATAAAGGTAAAACATTTGAGTAAATTTGCATAGTTAATATAAATTGCTGGACATTCACTAGACTTAACAGTTCCATAATTAAAAGAAAGGTCAAAAATGTTATGATTACTTGATGCTAATTAGAAGTAGATTGCCATTCTCTCATCTACAAGACATACACAATCCATATTTGCTATGAATAATTCAATAAAATTAATGCAATTATTAAGTAAAATGAGAATTCAAAGGTTTCAAGATGTTAATTGGAGCTAATCATAATCCATTTTAATTTGCTTCTCCATGAGGATACTATTAAAATTGTGTATGACAAACTATGGTTTTAATCATCTCATTGTGACGACAGCCCAAGTTTATGAGTAACGTCTCTGATATCCATAAAGTTCAGTGTGCTTTCTCAATCAATGGCTTATATTATAATGAACTTGAAATTAAGGATACCACAGAAAGTAGAAGATTTGCTTCATATCTTGGTCTTTTCCTCGATATTGACACCGATAGACGACTTCAATCTAGAATCTATGACAAACGTGATGATTTCAACTTTCAAATAGTCAACTTCCCATTTCTCAGCAGTAACATACCCTCTGCTCCATCGCATGGCGTTTACACATCTCAGTTGATACGTTTTGCTCGTGAATGTTCGTACTATACGGACTTCATTAACAGGGGTGTGCTCCTTACACAAAAATAAATGTCCCAACAGTGTTACGAGGAAGAACACTACATCAGTTTTGTAGTCACAATCGCGAAGTATTGACCATTACAATGTGTCGGTGTATCAACTTACTACCGACATGTTTTCGCGGTCTTAGAGATCTGTAGATACAAGTATAATGGTCTGATCTTTAATTTGACCGATTGTAACCTATTCCTTATTGTGATATTTTGAATGAGTGTGAATTCCTATGGCGGATAATGCATGTATAGCAGGAGATGCTTACCCTGTCGACGAACCCGGTCTCGCTCCTTTTTTGGAGTCCATGCGATTCTCGCGGTTTCTTTTTGTTTCCTTGATTTGTCTCTTCCCAATCGATTTACGAAATTTGAACATCGGTAAACTAATGTCGCCTTAATTTATGAGACGACAGCATATTCTTTTCCTTTTTTCCTCAATTGTGACATCACCGAATGAGATTTATAAATGGATATGTACTTGCATGAGCAACACGACGGATGACACATGTGGATCAGGAACTCTTTACCCTTCCGAATTACAAAAGTTCAACCCCGGTCTTGGTGTGGTTCGTGTTGCTCAGTTTGAGTTTTGTATACCGGGGTATGTATTGTGAACTTTTTCGTCCTTTCGTCGTTTTTCGTTCTTGCAATGGAGTTGTCAGTTTTCTACTTCATGTGTCGGTAATGAATAAACCACTTCTTTCACAGTTGGTAATCTAAATAAGTTAATGAAATAAACCAGCTAGCTACCTATGTTTAAGGTGATCCAGATCTCAATCCGACAGACACAAAATGACTACCGATTAGTCTATCAGAATAGCCAGGAGATAATCTTGGTAGGTCTCGGAGTTACAGTTTTGAGGGTTCTACGGAAGCCATAATGAATCACAGATTCCAAACACCATGTAGGATTCCAGGACAAGGGAAAAATAGCCACTACTCAAACGTATGTCTTTTAACTCGAAGCAAAGTTTCTCATGTTTTGGGATGAGAAATGTACGCAGGAATCCTGCATTTGAATACTTGTTATAATGTTTAGAAAGTACATGTCATCTAGTAAACTAAATAATACTGTTTTTAGATAGCCTCATGTTATTGCAAATGTACAAAGGTAGTTAATAAACAATCTTAGTTTATACTAAATGTCACGAAAATACTATCGTACATCATAATAAATAGAGAAAACGGCTATAGGAAAGCAATAAAACAACGATGTCTTTATGAAAAGTACTCATTTGCCACTGCTATAAGAATGCATTTTATAATTCAGTCAATAAAACAGAATGCCAAAGTACAATAAAAGAAGGCAACAATTAACAGTTTATTTCCAAAGATATTGGAAAACAGAATTGGAATTATTCAAATTACACCGAATGATCTTTCAAGTATACATTTTATCTGAATATATCGTTTTATGTTTATTTAATGGGGTTAAGTTTCTGAATCTTTTTATTTTGATGTATTGATTTTACGGATTATTTTTTTTTCTGGTAACATTCTTCCCCCTTTCATTTACCCCTGAATGTTTGGACATCTTTATATAACTTCGCATAACTTATGTAAACAAATTGTTCGATTACTGTACCAATAGAATTGGAAATGCTCAAAAGTATATATGACACAGGCTGTCAGTCTAATATCTAATTGTTCATAAAGCGAGAGCATAGCTAGAGTGATAATTATAAAATTGCTCAACGTGTGTATACCACATTAGTTTACTGACGGTCTGTGTAATGTTTACATTTTTATATCTGATACTTGACTATCTATTACTAACTTTGAACATTTAACGGATGTAGTTTTATATCGGAATATCATGGATGATAACTCACGTATTAAATATATATATTTGGTCAGCACGTGACGTCGCACAACCAATTGAATTATCTCAACCCTATAGAAAGTAGGATATTAATCTGCACCTTTTTCTTAAATGCTAGAGTAGAATGCATAAAAATGTCACCGAAATACACAAGAACATAGATAAACTAATGATACCGATTTCCAAGCGCATGACACTTGTTTATTAGAATAATCATCAGCATGTGCATCCGAGACCGAAAGATTTGAAAGCCAAAAATATAGAACATTTGAGAGTAATGAAACCAAAAGGGCCAAAACAGAACAGCCAAAACTGTCTCTGGTAAACTGATAAGAACTTCAAAACACTAAAAGACAGTATTAAAAGGATTTTTGACATGGAAACATTGAAAAAGACAGAGAAGATACCAAGGAGGTACTTGAAATTCGTAAGTCCATAAAAACAGACAACACAATGGTAAAAAAAGACAAAAGTACAAATGAAAAATAACTATTACACCATTACACATAAAACAATAGATTGAGCAATATGAAACGAACCACAAATCGTGGGTAAATAAAGGCAACAGTGGTATACCGCTGTTCAAAAGTCATAAATCGATTGAGAGAAAACAAATCCGGGTTACAAACTAAAACCGAGGGAAACACGTCAACTATAAGAGGAAAACAAAGGACTAACTGGAACACTGAAGTGCAACAAAAACAAACGCCAACATACATAGAAACGAACTATTTGATAACAACTGCCATATTCCTGACTTGGTACAGGACATATTAAGAAAAAATGGTGGGTTGAACCTGGTTTTATGGCTAGCCAAACCTCCCGCTTATATGACAATTGTAAAAAATATCGCTAAAATGACAACACTAGGTGACAGAAATACAGCACAAACACACGCAAGAACACTCATCACAGAGAAACGTACAAACAAATAATATGATAGTCGACACAACATGCAAACCGCAGAACAACAACGACATCAACGACAGACACCACAGGACATCACAAACAGTGACGCACTTACGTAACGAACATGCAATCTCGAACTATATACAATTATTTTCACAATACCAGTCCAAACAATTTTCATGACAATGATGATATTGAAAGGCAATTTTATAATTATTTGGACTACAAACGATAAGACATAACACATTATTCAACCAAACCCATAACAGAAACATCAAAAATAAATACATGAATGTTGGATGAACAAAATACCGAGACACGTCGTATAGCAATGCAAGTTCATACTCGGTATAACAGTCATATTCGGGAATGGGTCACGTTCGGTACTTAGCAGACAGTCGACATAGATTTTAAACTAAAGTCTAAGACGTGATAAAAATGTCATTAGTTAGTTTAGACACAGACACATCGTATAGATCAACAAATTCGTGATGGTGTACATAAAATTTACGGAGTGGCATTTTAAATCTTTCCTCCTCATAACTCTGTTGGAGCAGTTTCTGCGTAAGGAGCACACTCCTGTATATGAAGTCAGTATACTGTGAACATGCACGAGCAAAACGTATCAATTGAGATATGTAAACACCATACGACGGAGCAGAGGGTATGTTACTGCTGAGAAATTGGAAATTGATAATTAGGAAGTTGAAATCATCCCGTTTGTCATAGATTTTAGTGTGAAGTCGTCCATCTGTGTCAATATTGAGGAAAATATCAAGATATGAAGCAGTCCTTCTTGTATCAATAGTACATGTATCCTTAATTTCAAGTTCACTAGGATATATGAGATGCAAGTACTGACTGAAATATGGGTTATTCAGTGATAGGACATCATCAATATATCTGAAAGTAAAATTAAAGAATTTTGCAAAGTGCTTTTTCTTTTTTGTCTTTTAGAAGGTTCTGAATGAATTCTGCTTCATACTCCGGAAGGATATGCAGTTTCGTGTGGCATCAGTCGTGTTGCTCATAAAATCTTGCGATAAGTTGCATTTGGTAACGTCACAATACAGGAAAAGAGGACGACATATTGTTTACGACGACATATCCGTGGACTTCTGCGACACAGACATTCCATGCTTGACAACAAAAATAGACTGGCGTCTATAAAACTTTCATTAAGATGATTTTAACTTTACCACTTGAAACCCCTAGTTGCAAAAAGCTTCCTTGTGACCAGGAACTCTTTATCAAAAAAATCATGATAGGAATCTTAAGCCCTAGAATATTGTATCAACTGGGAGATATGTACTTCTTATGTGTATATAGTTGCAAAGAAATGACAAGTTCACAATGGGACAATTTGAATCATCTCCTCTGTCGTAATGTTAAGTTCTAAAAAAAAAACTCACTGTCAATTTCTAGATGTTATCTAAAATATGGGACAGACATAACTATATCTGTGGTATTCTTTTTCATGTCCAATAGGATATATATATATATATATATTCAACTCGTCTAAACATCAGCCCAACAATGTTAGATCTGTAAATTTGCTTTCGCAATTTTTTTGTTCTTCCCTCGTCGGGATTCGAACTCATGCTACTGAGATATCGTG